CAGACCATCCGCGATGCCTATGCCCTGCCAAACTTAGAGGAGTCATTTTCTGCTCTTGCAGGATCTCAGTGGTTCTCTGTGATGGACCTTAAGTCAGGGTACTATCAAATCGAGATGTGTGAAGAAGATAAGCCAAAGACAGCCTTCGTGTGCCCCTTCGGCTTCTACGAATTCAATCGTATGCCCCAGGGAATAACAAATGCCCCAAGCACTTTCCAAAGGCTTATGGAAAAGTGTATGAAAGACATCAATCTGAAAGAAGTGTTAGTCTTTTTGGATGATTTGATAGTCTTTCCCAGTTCCCTTGAAGATCATGAGACCCGACTCATTCATGTTCTTGAGCGACTCAGAGAGTACGGGCTGAAACTCTCGCCCGACAAATGTCGTTTCTTCCAAACATCAGTCCGTTATTTAGGCCACATTGTATCTAGAGACGGCGTAAAGACTGATCCCAAAAAAACTGAAGCACTCAAGACCTGGCCGAGACCCCAAACCTTAAAAGAACTCCAATCGTTTCTTGGTTTTACCGGTTATTACCGGAGATTTGTCAAAGATTACTCAAAAATTGTCAAGCCCCTCACCTCCCTCACAGCTGGCTATCCTCCGAAACGAAAGCATTGTAAAAACCCACCCAGTGATCCAAAGTATCTGAACCCCAAAGAGCCCTTTGGTGATTGTTGGGGACCAGAGTGCCAGAAATTGTTTCAAACTGTTATTGAAAAACTCACCACCTCACCAGTCCTTGGGTATGCTGATGCCAAGCTACCTTACCTGGTACACACAGATGCCAGTACAACCGGACTTGGGGCAGCTCTTTATCAAGTGCAGAATGGAACCACACAGGTTATAGCCTATGCAAGTCGTGGTCTATCCCGTAGTGAAGCTAGATACCCCGCCCACAAGTTAGAATTTCTAGCTTTAAAGTGGGCCATAACTGACAAGTTTCATGACTATTTATATGGGAACACGTTCACAGTCGTCACCGACAATAACCCATTGACTTACCTTCTGACCACAGCAAAGCTTGATGCCACGTGTTATCGTTGGTTGGCTGCACCTATAACTTTGACATTAAGTACAGAGCTGGGAGACAAAATCTTGATGCAGATGGACTATCTAGGAAACCACATGACAAACCTGAAGACGATCCAGTTTTTACCCAGGAATGTCAGCGCATTGATAAGTTCAGATCCCATCTCTTGTCCTCAGTCAAAGATGTCGAGCTCCAACTTCAATCCGATACCGTGATGGCAGCCTGTCAAAGACATATGGCCATGGATCAGACTGAACCCTCTTGTGCTCTAGTCCAGTCACTTGCCATGTCTGCAGTTGCCATTCCAGACATGTTTCAAGAAGAAGGCAATGATAACAATCTCCTAGCCTTACCCAGATACACCCATACTGATCTTGTCAACCTGCAGAGAAAAGATCCAGCCATTAGTAAAGTCATCAAGCTGCTGGCAGCTGACTCACATCCACCAGCCAATACTAAGTCTGAGTCTCACGATGTTCTCTTATTTTTAAGGGAGTGGAAACGTCTTGACCTCCAAAATGACTTACTGTACCGGAAACGCCAGTTGGGGCCAGAGACCTTGTTGCAGTTAGTCCTTCCTGATTCCTTACGCCCTACAGTTATGCTTAATCTTCATGACAACATGGGGCATTTAGGGGTCGAACGCACACTGGAACTCATTCGGTCACGTTTCTATTGGCCAAAAATGGCAGTTGATGTTGAAAAGAAAGTGAAAGCTTGCGAGAGATGTGTCCGCAGAAAAGCCCTGCCAGACAAGGCTGCTCCCCTGGTAAATATTAAAACTTCCAGGCCCATGGAGCTAGTCTGCATGGACTTCCTCTCAATAGAACCAGACAGTAAAAACACTAAAGGTGTCCTAGTGATCACGGATCATTTTACAAAGTATGCTGTGTCCATTCCAACCAAAGACCAGAAAGCCACCACCGTTGCAAAGAACTTATGGGAGAACTTCCTAGTCCATTATGGCTTTCCAGAGTGACTTCATAGCGATCAAGGGAGAGACTTTGAATCGCATACAATCAAAGAACTGTGCTCTCTGCTCGGTATCCGCAAAGTCCGAACAAGTCCTTATCATCCTCGTGGCAACCCTGTTGAGCGATACAATCGCACATTACTCAGTATGCTTGGTACCTTGAAAGACACCGAGAAACATCACTGGCGTGACTTCGTAAAACCACTTACTCACGCTTATAACTGTACAAAAAATGATGTAACAGGCTATTCTCCTTATGAGTTGATGTTTGGTAGACAGCCTCGCTTGCCCATTGATATTGCCTTTGGCTTGCCACAGCCAAACAAGCCACAGCTGACTCACTCTCAATACGTCAAGCAGTTGAAAAGCTACCTCGAACAGAGCTACGAAATAGCCATCAAAAACTCCCAGAAAATAGCTGACAAAAACAAGAAACGGTTTGACAAAATCATCCGTGAATCCACACTACATGTGGGAGACCGAGACCCTTTTCTCAACGAGAAGTCGGGGCTCGGGAGAGCCTGAGTGCCCTGGAGGGACTTTCCCTGCCGGTTACACGATGGACGGGTGGCAGAACTGGAGGACCGTGTGCCTGGCGGGACTGTCGATCGAGGACGCTGAAGATATCTACCTATTCGGAACCATGATAACAGGGTTCATGCTGATCGGCGTTGGCTTAGCCCTGGTTTATCAGAGAAATAAGAAAGCGGAACCGGCTGTTCAAACCCCCACAAGGCTGCCCGCTGGATTCGAAGCGACGGGACGAGGTGCGACCTCTCACAACGAACGTAATATGGTCAACACCTTGGAGACGCTTACAGCTGCTGTGAAGGCTCAAAACAACACCATTGAGCGTATGAGGGGAAACATCAGAGAGAGGCCTGCTCAAAATGAGACCCTTGAGCGACAGTTGGAAAACATCGCGGAACGGATCACTGCAGTTGTGAGGTCTCAGAATCAAAAGACTGACAACACCACGGAACAGAAGTTTGATACCATCATGGGGAGGCTCGCAGCTCTTCAACGGGAGATCGAGAGACCAGCCTCGGAGTGCTAGAATTCGAGCTGCTCACAAAGGAGAAATCAACAATATTCAATATTTGGACACCACGGCCCCAGCTGCAGGCCCAAGGCTGGAGCCCACCAAAACAACTCCCTGATAACGACTGTGTGATGACTATTCTTCCCGCCCCATGAAGGACACCTGGATTGGCTGGAGGACTGTTTACTTAGCCTGATAGGCCGAAGGACACTGTCTCAGCTAAACTATGGGCACGCACACACACACACACTTACACTGATAAGCACTCACTCATCCCCCTCCCTTTCCAACGCCTTCGATGCTTGTGCCCTACCGGGGATGATAGCAGTCAACTGGACCAGCACAGATGCTGCAGGACCGGATGCGCTGTCTACGCCGGCTCTCTCTTACCCTTTACCCGCCCCTGTTGCTTGTCTCGTGTTTCTATGGTGTATTGATAGTCATGTGCTTTTGTGCTGAGGTGTTTTTTCTTTTATCAAACTGTTCTCCCACTAGGAGCTCAGTCTGAGTGGAGTTTTTTTCTCCTCCTCTTACCTCATGTAGTGTATTTTCGTTGTTTTTTTCCTATCAGCCTACCTTCTGACATGTCTGCCCAATGTGATGTTTGTGTAAAGTTGGTCAGAAGGTTCCTTTGTGAGTGCGCATGCGCCATTAGCGTGCTGCCTGCTGTAACCCCTAATTTCCCTCGGGATGAATAAAGTATTCTGATTCTGATTCTGATTCTGAAACAAATGGAAAACTTACCAGTATATACTGTAAAACCGGAAAACGGAGATGGACCCAACAGAACGCTCCACAGAGATCTGTTACTTCCCTGTGGATTTCTCTCACCAACAGAGCATGAACCCGAGCGAGTCACAAAAACTAACAGACCACGCACAAGACAAAGTTCAGCTTTGGAAGTTGACTCTGACCAAACACTTGAGGAAGAGGAAGATGAGTTTTATTATCCTGAACCTCCACAAGTGAACGACAGACATTTTTACCAAGTATGTGCCATACCGCCAACACAAGGATTCAAACAAAACAAAGATCCTGTAAATGATGACGAACAACCTAACACATTACCGGACATGACAGACTTACCTGAAAAGGACACTGGGAATGAAACTGAAACATACTTACCTGAGCAGGAAACTGAGAACGAAACTGAAACATACTTACCTGAAGGCGAAATTGGAAGTTCAACTGACACCAACTTACCTGAAATGGACCGTGAAACAGACCTACCTCAGACAGAACGTGAAAGTGGAGCAAACGTATCACCAAGTGAAAGTGACACAAGCCTACAAAATAACACACCAAGTGAGTCTGAAACAGACACTCGAAAAGACAAAAATGTTTTGTCGACCAGTTTGTCAGATTCACCGTTATCAGAGAACTCAACTCATCAACTTTCACCTGAAAGACAAGTTGAAAACGATGATGAACCTGAAACCTTGCAAACAGAAACACAGATCAGAAGATCTGAAAGAATTCGCCAACCATCCCAAAGACTCACTTATCCTCAGCTAGGTAACCCACTAGTAACAGTGGTTAAATCCCTCTTTCAAGGATTGAGCAAAGCTTTCATCGACTCCTTTGCTCCTGATGTTACCTATTCCACCAGAGCCATGCACGGGGACGTGCATGAGATTTAAGAGGGGAGGATGTAACCCAGTGAGTTTACACGACTCAGTAATGCACTACAACATGTTATTGTTAATTGGGATTTATCATTACTCTGTTAATCACTGAGTTGATCAAAAATAAATCAATAATAAAAGATAAATACTATAAATATAAGAATAAAACCCAAAGAGTATATTTAACACCCCTACTGGTTAGGAAGGAACAAGCCCCGCCTTCCCCTGCTCTGTACCGTCACGTGCTCAGACACAGAGAGAGACGGAGGTGCACGAGACCATCGCTGATTTTCACCGCCAAGCTTTTCTCTGGAAGATAACTATTAACTTGATAAATTGAGCAAATATCCATACCGGAGATCTGCATGGACCTTGGAGAAACGGACCTGATTTATTGTGAACATTTCGGACCTTGAAACCATCGCGGTGAGTCAGAAGCTGTTAAGCTAACCTTGAAGCTAAAAAGCTAACAAGAAGTTAACAGGGAATATAATGGCCCAATTTCAATGTTGTAGATCTGCGCGGGAGCGGATGAAGTGGACAAGATCCTCTCTGAGAGTTGAACAAGATCCTCTCTGAGAGTTGAACATTAGAAGTGTGCTGGTGAGTTAAACTGGGACTGGGCGAATCAGGCTAATTGAAAGCTAACTAGCCTAATGCTCATAGCTGCAGCTGTAGCTGACCACGTTTTCACTGTGGGAGAACACGGGGTTTCTCACGGAGTTCAGCCATTTTGAGCACTCAGCTTGTGTGCTGATGATGTTCTAGTATTACTTGTTGAATATTAAATGCACTAAAATTAGATGATGGAATAAGTTAATGTTGATCTTAAAGGTCATGAATCTACTTTATTTTGTTACATTTGATGCTCGAGCGGCACTGGATAGATGTCCGTGTGTATTCTTACTGTGCTGATACGTTACCACATACTGTAAAACTACAGCCTGTGGGTTTTTGTATATTCTTTTCATAATTTTATTCTGTACATTGAGTGTAAATAATATATTGCTTCATTGCTATGCAGTGTAAAGAAATGCTCCTGTAATTCAGTTAAAGGGCAATACTGTAAAAAAAAACAATCTACCATAGTTTATGGTTTATTTCTGATTTCTGATAGAAATGTGCACCTTGATGATAGAATAAGCTGATTGTGATTTAAAGATTGCATTCATGATTAAGATGCACTGTATATCCTGCTGTGACAAAACAAATTTCCCACGTGTGGGACTAATAAAGGTTATCTTATCTTATCTTATCTTATAGACTATAGTTAGAAATTAGAATTAATGTTTGTGCTTGTTTTGTTATAGCACTTACATTATTTACATATGGCCATGTATATCTTTAGAGTGTGAACTGAATTAGTAATAGTCCTGTTGTTTACAGGCTAGGTTTTTTTTATGGGATCGTGAGACCTGGATCTCTTCCTGACGAGGAAGATGGCGAGCCTTTCCCTTTGAACCGAACCGAACCACAGCCATTCTGAGTTGGCCCAGAAGGGCAGGTTGCTCTTCTCTCACGAACAATTGCAACAGTGCGGTAGGACGAAATCGCACCAATCACAAACTTTTGACCTGTTGGATTTGACTTGACTGAACACTGACTATTAAGCCGGCAGGACTGACATATCTGAGCTCAGATAGGATTCTGACTGTTATTATTATTGCTGTCACTGTATTTTATTTTGTGTTTTCATTCCTGTTCATGAAATGCTGTTAAATTGTTGCTAAATAGTTTAATACAATTCATAGCAACTTTACCTGTGGCTCCAGTCATTCTTCTCCACGCAACTCACTATCCCTCCTACGAATCTAGCTATTGGCCCATTCTCTCCATCTTACTTTAATTTCCCCTACCCTATCCTGTACTTGGCTACAGAAGATTGAATTTGCAATAGGTAAGCAGCTTGGTGTGAAGAAATCAACTTAGAGATTAATCATTAGAAAATGGAAGACATCTCCCTTGATCTGGGGCTCCTCACAAGATCTCACCCCCGTGGGGTCAAAATGATCACAAGACAGTGATTCTTGAGATAAGGGACAAAATATGTCCGGCAGATAAAACCCAATTTTGTGGTTAAAAATATGCATTCAAGTGTTAACCCAACTGCCTAAAAGACAAACCAAGACAATGTTTATACAACAAAACTATGATTTTGCATTTTTTATAAATATAAAAAATGCAAAAAAAATTTGCAAAATAAATGGTAATGTATTGTACCATTTATTTATTTTAAATGGTACAATACCAGTACCTTAAAAATCCATTGTCCAGAAGCAGGTGTGATAATATTAAAATACAGAAAAACAAAATTAAGAGTAATGTAAAATTAAACATCATGGCTCTCGTCACTAAGTATCTAAGTCAATACCTTATATAATATCAAAATATGCAATTGAAAATTTATTTTTAAATAATTTTTAAGTGATTAAAATGGGGTCCAGAGTTTTTGTCAACACCGTCAGATTTTTTTTAAAAGTACAAAAAAATCAGGATTTATTGTGGGCAGGGCAGCTTACACTCTGAGGACCCCTTTACCACTTCCTGTTTGATACACATGCATGAGGTCACTGCTGTGATAATCTTTTTATTTTTATTTCATTTATTGCACACCTTTCTGATAAAACTGTGTCACAACCATAGTGCGTCAACACCAAAGTCGATGTAATCCAAGATTAAATTTTTTTTTTTGTAAAAACAGCCTCATTTAGGTAGATTGTAAAGGCCATAAGCAACTGATAAAAAAAACAAGATGGCTTCTGTCAGAAAAACACGTGTTATGAGAGAAAGTCGGGTATTTTGTCAGCACCATCAGGATTTTTGTCTGACGGTGTTGACCCTTTTTCTAATGGTGTTGACAAATGTCAAAAGTGTGCTGTTCACCATTTATATTAAGTTATTTTTTACTAATATTTCGGTCATATTACTTCTTGGGTATTTTTCTGATATTTCTGCTTCACAAATGTGTCAAATATTATCAAATTTGCCTTATCTTGAATCTCATTGTTTATGTATACATTATTAATCCTGTAGGAAAATGCTTAGTCCTCTGCATTTAACCCATTCACTCAGTGATACAGTGGGCAGCTACCAATCCAGGATCGCCTCTGTTCATTGGATTTGAACGCCCAACCTTCCGATCATGTGGCATCTACTGAGCTAGCTGTGCCCCGAGAGCTGTTTTTAAGTGATGATGTATGAATCCTGCTTCCGGGCCCAAACTACTCTGTGTTTATTAAGCCTGTTGTGCTGTTAAAATGTTTTAATGCTTTTTATCTTGTTCTATTACATCTGAACAAGCCCCTAAAAACAGTCAGTGATCACTGTTGGCCTAACCATCAGAAACCCTCACGTTAACTTTTATCAAGTGGAAAAAAGTTAGCTTTCATCCTCCAGCTTCACTGTGTTTATGTTATGCTAACATAGCTGCGTCGCTAGCAATCACGCAGCACATCACTATATACCAGCTAGTCATACTTCAGTAACCTGACAATAGTCACTGCTGTTTAGTTTTCTGTCTTCATTTATGTTGGAAGTGGTAGCAGTATCATGTTCAGGTGGAAACAAGCAATCTAACTTTAACTCTGTTAAATTTCATATATTCTGTTTTCATGGATGCCTGGATGTTACACCTGGTAGAGCAGTCACACTGATCATTTTATTAAAGATGAAAGAATTTAGTAATAATATCTTGTTTTCTACTAGTGTGTCACCACCGTCAGATTTGTGTCACCACCGTCAGCACCTTGTCAACTCCATAATATGGAGTTTTTGTTTATTTTTCTCTTTTGGAGAACCATATATTTTCCTCCATGACCTTCCAATAAAAATACGTAATTTTCTCAATAAATGTGTAATTTGCATGCTGCTAAATATGACTGTTTCTTATACAGATTAAATACAAGCTTCTGAAAATATGTATGACTGTAACTCTAATAATAAAAAGCCAAAACAATCTTACTTTTAAACATGGTATAATTACTTTGAAAACATATGTGCATAAACAGAACAGATAAGCTGCTAATAGTCAAAATAGCTGAAACAACTTAATTTAAAATATATATTTTTGCATTTCTTTGCGTCTGATGGTGTTGATAAAAACCTTGCCCTTCTCCAGCAAAAACATAAATTATTAAAAAATGTTACACCTAGGAGACCAAAACATGGTGAGACAGCCAAAACTTTGTGTAACAATTATATGTAAATATGTTTTTGAAAAATCAAAAAATATATTTTAGAAAATTAAAACCTGTTTTGTCCCTAATCTCAGGAATCACTGAAGAACCACACAGGTGGTACCTCATGAATGACCTGCAGTCAGCTGGGACCAAAGTAACAAAGGCCACCATCATTAATACACTCAAATCCTGCAGTGTCAGATGTGTCCCCCTGCTTGAGCCAGTCTATGTCCAGCCCCGTCTGAAGTTTGCTAGAGAGCATTTGGATGATCCAGAAGAACATCGGGAGGATGTCATTTGGTCAGATGAAACCAAAATAGAACCTTTTGGTAAAAACTCTACTTGTCATGTGCTGAGTTGCATCCAAAGAACACCATACCTACTGTGAGGCTTGGGGGAAGAAACATCATGCTTTGAGGCTGTTTTTCTGCAAAGGGACCAGGACAACTGTGTAAAGAAAAGAATGAATTGGGCCATGTATCGAGAGAATTTGACTGAAAACCTTCAATGAGCAAGGGCATTGAAGATGAAACATGGCTGGGTCTTTTAGCATGACAATGATCCTAAACACACCACCCGGGTAACGGAGTGGTTTTGTAAGAAGCATTTCAAGGTTCTGGAGTGGCCCAGCCAGTCCCCAAATCCCAACCCCACAGAAAATCTTTGGAGGGAGCTGAAAGTGTTGCCGAGCGACAGTGCTAGAGGAGATCTGCATGGAGCAATGGGCCAAAATACAAGACTAACAGAAAACGTCTGACCTGTCATTTCCAACAAAGGCTATATAACAAAGTACTGAGGTGAACTTTTGTTATTGACCAAATACTTATTTTCCACCATAATTTGCAAAAAAATTCTTAAAAATCAGACAATGTGATTTTCTGGGGGGGGGGTCTCAGGCCTCTCCCATATACTTTTTTTTTTACTTGACAGCGGCTTCGGGTGGCGCTGTCACTTGGTGTTCGCTCTCTTTAGAGAGTAGAGTATCACTTCCTGTTCCAACACACAATGGTGTTTTTGAATAGCAATTTAATTAAAAACTTTTAGATAACTTCTGTTTTCATAGTATAATCTTCACGTGCTTCATCCGAAGCACACTCTCTGTGTACTTTTTTTTTTTTTTTTTTTTTTTTTTTGGCCTGTCCCGTTTGGCTCTTTTGCCATCAGAATTGTTGTCTAAAGGCAAAGAAAGATGCCCAACGGATTTACTTTACCAAACTGACCATCCCAGCCTTGCCGTAATGGTCCATTTGATTCACCTTTTATTGTTTATTTTATTTTCACTTACTGAATACGGGACAGACTTGACTGGGGGAAAGAAGGGGAGAAAGAAAGAGGGAAAGAGAAACAGCTGAGAAGAGGGACGGGGGAGAAGGGCAAAAGACAAAAACCAACAGAACGGGCAGAGAAAAAAAAATGCATATATACTCTCTGTGTACTCTTGTCAGGGTTCCTGGGTTGTTGACCCAGTGTTTTCAGTTCATGTTCAGTTTATGTTCCACATTCATGTTTCCCGCTTCACCGTGCCAGCCCCCTCTCTCAGTGTTATTAGTTGTACTTTCTGTTTCATCATGTTCAGCTGCTCACCGGTCCCTAATCATCATCATTAGCCAGTGTACTTAAACCCTCAGTTTCTCTCTGTTCAGCATCGTGTCATTGTAGATGTTATGTTGTCTTTCCTGTGTGTTCAGTTCAGTCAATCAGCCAGCCATCTATCTACTGCTCTGTCTGTCATCCATTCCAATAAACATCAATATCCTGCACCATGAGTCCTGCGTTTGGGTCATCTCTTCCTCACCTCCTCACACAACCTCTGACAGAATGACACGACCCGTGCCACAAAGACACGAGTGTGACCCAGCAGACTCTGACCTTTTCGAGCGGCAGGAGGCAGCGCTCTGTGACCCAGTCTACCCCCACACCCATTCCTGGGGTCCATTCTTCATACCTCGCTTACTACATCCAAGATCAAATGACACATCCAAGATCAAATCATCGCGCCAACTTTGAGCTCGCTATTCCGGTTCTCCGAACACACCTGTTGTTGACGATTAGTACAGCTGGATGAAGTAATGTGAGATCACTGGGTGGCTTAAAAGGGGCTACGCTTCGATAGTAGAAACATTGATCGGCAACCCTTTGATTGATCGGCAACCCTTTGATTGATCGGCAACCCTTTGATTGGTCGGCGAAAATGTCGAAGGAGCGCGCTCAGTATTTTTCGGCAGCAGAGCAAGAACTCTTGATTGAGGGATTTCAGGAGTTTCAGAGTTTAATTAGAATGCAAGGGAACACTGCAAAGGCTGCAAAAGCAAGGAGAGAGGGCTGGCAGAAAGTTGCTGACAAATTAAACTCGTAAGTAATTTATTATATTATATTACATTATATGATATTATATTATATTATATTATATCATATTATATTATATTACATTA